CTCTTGCAAGCTGGACGAACATCGTCTCCTGTGTCCCTACGAAAGACTGCCTTGCCTAAACAGCGGCTTTGGCTGCCCCTTCACCGTCAAGAGAATCAAAATGGCGCAGCATCTGGAGACGTGCCCCGCTAGCATAGTTTGTTGCACAATGGAGTGGAACCGGTGGCCTGTGAGCTACGCCGATCACAAGTCCTACGAGAACCTGAGCAAAGACTTTGACAAGGTGGAGCAGCTAGACATGGCTTTAGCTCTTCAGGATCAGAGGATGCTATTGGAGTCGCTGAAAGTTACGACCAACGTGTCAAAGAACGGAGAAAAGGGAGCAGGCTATGTTGATGAAATAGCTTCGGTGTTGGGCAGTGAAACGGTAGAAATGGAGGAAGAACCTTACAACAACTTGTACAGAGCTTCAGGGGAGGCAACCAGGAGCTTAGCTGCTGCGCTGGACATCCTCACTAATTCCAACAACATTGGAAAAATTATCGAAAATATCAATGTAGATAAGAATGGATTGATCCAAAATGGGGAAAGCAGTCTTGTTGCTGAAGGCAGAAGGAACGTAGAAATGCTTGACAGTGACAGTGATTCAGAGTGTGAGCTGGGGGCTGTGGGTGGAGTCGATTGCGCTATAGAAACAGACGGAGATGATGATGCTGCTAACTGGTCTGAAGAAAGGAACTTTGTAGAATTGCATTTTGAGAAAAAAGATGTCGTCATCAACGAACCGATTCAAAACGGTGACCTCGTCTGGCCTCGCATCCCTCAGGACTACATACCCCTCGTAGCACCAGAGCCGCCCGCGCCCCAGCTGGTCCCGCTCACACCGCCATTCCTGGTGTCGGATCAAGTAAGAAGGAGCTTCTGCAGGTATCGGTGTTGGAAGCAGAACTTGGAAGTGCTCAGCATGTTTACATATAATGTCCCCCAGGCCCTAATCAACCCTTACTTGTTTCGAGCAAAAATGGAGGACAAAGCAGTGGACACATCTGACCTGGAGGTAGAGGAGGACCCGATGGGGCTCCACGGCATTGACCTCATCACTGCAGCGTTGCTGTTTTGCCTTGGGGATTCCCCGGGAGGCCGGGGGATCTCCGATAGCAGGTTTGTCGATGGCTACCACATTGACTTTGGCACTCAGACATTCTCCTTCCCTTCCGCCATCCTCGCTACGAACACCATGGTGGGCGACATCGCCTCGGCCTCGGCCTGCGACCACGCCAGTCCGCAGCTTTCTAACCCCAGCCCCTTCCACACGCTGCGGCTGGAACTGGTGCTCGAATGCGTCGCGCGGTACCAAACTAAACAGCGCTCCATGTTCACGTTCGTGTGCGGGCAGCTCTTCCGACGCGATGAGTTTTCGTCTCACTTCAAGAACGTCCACGGGGACATCCACGCCGGACTCAACGGCTGGATGGAGCAGCGTTGCCCCTTGGCATACTACGGCTGCACTTACTCCCAGAGGCGCTTCTGTCCGTCCGTGCAGGGCTTTCGGATCATCCACGACAGACACCTTGGTTCCTTTGGGGTGCAGCCCGGATTGCCTTTGAAAACCGAAGACGGCCACTCAAGAAAGCCCCACCACATCGACGCTCAGTACGATCAGTTTAGCAGTCTTCCTTTTGAGGTGTTGCAGCACATAGCGAGCTTTCTCGACAGTTTCAGTCTGTGCCAGCTGTCCAGAGTGTCTCGCACCATGAGGAACGTGTGCGCCAGTCTGCTTCAGATGCGTGGCATGGTTGTCCTGCTGTGGGAGAAGAAGCGGCGCGATGACGGGTCTCCTTCGTGGCAAATAACGCACAAGGTTAGAACATTTAGGTGCTCATTTGTCAAAATTCATTTGTCAAAGTCCTTGTCATAATTAGAGCAAATGTTTTTCTCACCATGGTTGAAGTCGCATGTTGTTCTCGTGTTCTACCAGGTGTGGCGCTTCAGCACGGCCTTCGGCACGGTGAACGAGTGGAAGTTCGCCGACATCGCCAGCATGGCCGACCACCTGAAGAAGTGCAAGTTCAACACAATCGCCCGCCGGGAGGAAGCCATCCCTCTGCCCTGCATGTGCTTCACCAGGGAGCTCACGAAAGAGGGAAGATGTTTACGATCGGTTCTCAAACCAGTAGCATGAACACTGACAACATTTTTGACACCTTTTTATTCTTTTCAACTGACCAAGAGAACTTTGATCTACTTGTATTTTCTTCAGCGTTTACAGACATTTACTCTCTTCACGCTTCGGAACTGCAGCTCCAGTTGGAACGGTGTCAATTTCAGGTTATCCTTCGTTTGACTTTAGTTTACAGGAGACGATGTCAGCAAGTTGTTGTGGTTCAGCTGATTATAACAGTTTTCTCCATAGCAACTCAAATGGTTCCACTGAAACGAATATCAACTCAGTTTTAAATAGAAATAGGATATTTACTGAAATATAACATTGCGATAATCAATATCTATTATGGTTTACCTAAATTTCCCCCTCTACTTTCTTTCCATTTCATCATCAGAAGCATTTTGATCAGGGAAAAGCGAAGAATAGTGAAAGCTCACCTTGGCAAAATATACAGGATTATTTCTACTTTTGGATCAAAACAAATGCCTACAACCTTTATATACGTTTTGCTAAACCCTACTTTTCTATGTAATGAATGTTTTTTTTAATTTGACTTAAAATCAAATACTACTTAACGTCTGACAGATTTAGTGTCAGTGAGACGTCACTGCTTTTAGCCGGTTGAAACTCTTTTTCACAGTTTTGTTAGAACATATTGATACTGACCAAACACCTGAGCAGAAGTTGGATGTTTCACAGGATCCTTCTGCTTTCAGCTCACCGGCGTTGGCGTGTCGACATCGGCGTGTGTTTTGTCTTCATTTCTACATTTCATTTCCGAGCAATTGTCCGGCGTATTCAGGGCGAAACGAAGAACACTATTCTCCAGTATGTTTGGCCAAACTTCACCAGCAGATTTTTAATTTTTTTTTGTGGGTTCTTTGCTCCAAAAATCTAAATGGAGCAATGAGATGAATATGAATGTACTTGGTGAAAATATGTGTCGTAGAATCCTGCTGGCCAGGTTTTAGGAAGCATAGCTGACGATTTGGAACATCACTACTTCTTTTCATCCTTCAATTTGATGTGTTGAATGTGTTTGCCATTACCTGCCAGGTGGGTAAAAATGGATGGCGTCTCAGGGTTTTAGGATGTTCTTGTCGTGATGTTGGTGGTGAGACAACGATCACAGCGCGTGGTCTCCAAACTGACACAGTATGACCAGCACAGTTTGTAGTGCAGTAACAGAGAAATCTAAGATTTTTATGGGTGTTTTTTTGTTTTGTTTTGTTTTGTTTTGTTTTTTTTCTTGTGGAGTTCATTTCATTAGCATAAAAACACGTTTTGAAATACCTTGTGTTTTGTTTCTGTTTGAAAGAAAATGCTTGAATCTTTTTTAATAAAAGGTAGCAGAAAATGACAGCTACTTTAGGTTTTAGCTGCTAGTTTTCATTTTTGTCTTTCTTTCCCCCTCTTTATGTATGTTTGTATTTTTTAGACGTTGCTGTAAACTCGAAGCTTTGTTTTTCATCCACTTGTGTTTTTTTGGTACTTTTCTTCTTTTTTTTGTGAGAAACCTGCCTCAGTTAGGTGTAGATGTGAATTATTGATTTGCACATGAATGCATGTACTGTAAACTCCTAAAGGTGACTGGTTTGTTTTTGCTTGACATTTTATGGTCACTCTGCATGCGAGTTAGAAACAGTTCAGCTGCAGATTGATTTCTGTTTTTTCTTTTCCTACAAGTATTTGTAGGCATCTTGGTTACTTTTTTCACTTTTCTTTTAACTTGAACCACCAGGTATTTAAGCTATACTTCATCACATGTGCCCAGTGTTCACATTTAAACAGACGTATGTATGTATAGAACTGGTCATTTATCGGTCCATAAGTTCATCCCAGGAAGAAGACAAGAGAAAAAAATTAATCTGCTAATTATTATTTTTTTAAATAGCTATTTTTTTGTGTCTGCAGTGTGTTGACAGTATTTTAACTTTTATTTTCACTTTTTTTTCTTTACTTTCACCAAAGTATGTCAGTTTGTTTGTAGGTAATAAAGAGATCTGCCAGTTTTTATGCATTTTTTTGTATTTATTTATGTGCATACAGGTTTAACACCGATTTACCTGAAAACTGCCATGTTTACGCAGAGATTTTTTCAAATTATTTCAAATTTTCTGGTCTAAAAAGTAAGACAGCTCAATCAGTTCATAGGTTATTTTTCTTCCCATTAGCCAAATAAGCACTCAGTGTTGTCCACACTAAAAAATGTTTTCTTGAAATTTATAGTACTAATTAAAAATGACTTTAGTCTTTTTTTTTTTTTGGTAAAAGTGCCTAATTTTTTATGGATTCCATGTTAGGAGGTTAGTTTCTCGAAACTTATAATCCTTGTAACAGAACCACTAACTTCTGTTTTATTTGACAGACAGACCAACCAATAGGAGCACATTTCAAAGACCATTCATCTCGTATATTTTATGTAGTTCTGTGACTAGAGGCTACTGCTGACTAACTACTAGCCTTATCTAGGTAAAGACATTATTTTATTGCTAGTTGCTAGATGACAGTGTTTTTGCCGCTGGTTTGTTTCTGTTGCCATACAATGCTGTGCATTCTGTGCAAGAAAGCCTGGGTCTACTACTATATAAATATAAAATGTTATTTTGTACTTTTCTGACATGTGCAAAAATGCCCATTTCATTCATAATGGTCTTAAAATGTGAGTTGGTGAATCTCTGCTTACAGCTAGATGGCACCAAATTCACACAACTTATTCTGAACTGAAGGTGTTTAATGAGTCCTGGTGTCTTGTAGTTTTGATACCATTTTGTCTGTGTTAAGACCAGACAGCATCATACAAATATTTGATCAATAAGGTTAAAATTGACAGGTGATTTAATGACGTTCCAAGATTACCAATATAAACTTTCAAGCCTGTATGAAAAGTCTTTATTTGTCATATTTAAATATTTTAAAGGAATTTCTTCTCGAGTTTCCCGGCCTACATGTACAGGCGATAGCTCTCAAACAGCCACACTTCCCATCAAACGTGGGGGCTGGAAACCCACAAGGATTGAGCCCATCCAATCTAATCTCCTACAGCTAAGCCTCTGCCAGGCTGGGGTCTGCAGCCAGCCACAACAAAAACGCGAGCAGCCGTGTGAGGCCGACGGGCAACAACTCTGTGAAAGTCTTGGTGCAACGCCTCGCACAGAGCCGGTCACGCTGCCTGTAAGCCCCCACTCCACCCCAGCAGACATGTCAACCACAGCGATGCTGCTGGTGGAGGAAGTGCAATCATTGCAGACTCATTTCAACATTGAGTGGCAACGTTGCAGTTCGAAAAACGCCCACGACAACCACGGCCATCTGACTCACCTTCACGCTGCCAGCTGACACCTCCTGTGGGAGATGGCGCGTCGCACATTTTCGCCTCGGCTCTCACGCTGCACGGACGGAGAGCCTTCTGATCCGCTCCCCGTTCTATTGTTGCTGTTGCTCAGCCTAAGCAAACACGTCCACATCGATTCAGGTCATGAGAAAAGCTGACGGCTCACGTCACTGGCTCCTGTTGTGTACTGTTGACTTAAGATAATGCCGTTTCATCTGAAACTGCGGGAGCTCTCAGTCGAGTAAGACAACAAAAGGCCTGTAGGCGAAGTAGGTTGGCCAGGCTTTAGATTCATAAAGCATGTAAACAAATCTTCCCTTAATTAGAGGCCTTAATGTATTTCTAAAGACCTGTTGAACAACAGCAGCTGCAGCAGGAACCAGGACCACTTTTATTTCTAGCTTCATACTCGCGCTGGCAAAACCACTCAAAGGCATTTAATCTCACTTAAAAAAAAAAAAAAAGAAAAAGAAAGTTACATTAAATATCTTACACTGCAAAAAAAATGACAGAGCTTCAGATTTATGTCTTTACAGCAGGTCAAAGGGCGCTGATGAAAATATAATCAAAGTAACAATCAGGAAATGTAACATCCAAATTACACTGTCTCAGTTTTGCATATGAGTGTGTGGTTTGAAGTGACTCTTCCTTCTTCTTAACACTGTAAAAAAAAAAAAAGAACAAACAACTGTGATGTCAAGGTACTGTTGCTGGACACTGCAGTGCAACACTTCAAATTAAATAGACACAGGTACATGGCCGGCCCACGATTCTGGAGGATCCTGGGGCAGCAGCTGATTTAGTGCCCTCTAATCTTAAAGCTCACTTAAAAGTAGACACAAATTTGAAGACTTTGCTTATGCCTGGAGTCAGTTCTGTAGATACAGATAAAGGAATCGTTTTGCTAAAGAAGTCTCATTTGCAGCAAGGGAAGCAGCAGCAGAAAAGCTTCTTGCACGGATTGTTTCTCTTATATTTCACTGCCTTCTTGATCTGAACCGTCGCTTTAGCGACGTAGTCCTGAGTCGCGCCAACGTTGGCCTCTATGTTGTCCAGCATAGAGCCCTGCTCCTCCACCAGCAGCGCCAGCTGAAAGAAGAGTTCGTGGATGTCCCTGATGCGGCTCTCCAGCTCCAGCAGCTCCTTGTGCCTGTTCTCTATCTCGTTCAGAGCCGACCTGGCAGTCCTGCCCTCCTGGAGGAGATTATCCGCGAAGATGTTGCACTTCCCCGTCTCGATCATCTCGTCTATCTGCTCCCTGCTCACCTCCTTGCCCATGATCTCCGCTTGCCTCTGGATGCGGTTTTTGCAGTTCTCCCTCTGGATCATTTCGGCCTCGTTGAACTCGGATATGGCTTCATGGAAGGCGCTGGTCAGGGACACGTACTGCGAGCGCACCATGCGAGCCACGGCCGACGTGGGGCCATGCTCTTCTTCCAGCTCCTTGCTCAGCTTCCCCATCTTCTCCAGCCGGGCGTAGATGGCCTCCCCCCGTGCCTTGATGTCCCTGCCGAGCGCGTTGGCGTCCCGCTTGATGCTGCTAAACCTCCTCACCGACGTGAGGAAGCGCGTGTTCTGCTTCCCCATGCGCTTCACGTCCAACTTGAGGAGCAGCATCTCCTTCCTCATCATCTGGGCGTCTTTGTAGATGCTGTCCATCACGTCCTCGCCCTGGAAGACGACGGCGTGCTGCTCCAGCAGCTCCTCGTCCTCGTTGCTGTGGATACCATTGGGGCCATTCTCCTCCTCTGCGGGGAAGCTCTGCAGATCGCACAGTCGGTCTTTCATTTTACCTGCATGGGGGGAGCAAGAAGCTCAGCCAACATCTTTGGGGAAATAACATCTTACAGCTACTGTAATACCGAATGTGTTGATCGAATGTCTACCAGAAAAGGGGCAACAGAAGCAGGTTTAATGTCGTTGTTTTTTTTTTCTTCTTCTCTTGTGAATTATCTGATCAAAGCCTTCCTAAACACAAGCTGGGCCACAATTGTTAAATGTAGGTCAGTCAGTAAAGTGGCAAGCAGTCACCATTTCAACAGCTGCAGGCAGCAGAATTTCACCCTCAAAACGGTGGAAAGGTTTGGCTTTCATTTTTGGTCAGGTAGAGTAAATATCAGGTACTAATAGCCTTGGATCCCTCTGAGCAACAGTTTCAGCCAGCTGCCTTTTTAGTGTCATAATTATGAAAGAGCTGAAAACAGGAAGAGCGAAAATAAATTTGTGTGTAAGACCGACAAGAAAAGAGAACTTGTTGGGAGGTAGGCGGAAAGGTTCATTGAAAACCTCAAGGAGATTCTGGTGAACGAAAAGGAATCGACTGACTTGAGGAAGAAATTCTCCTCTGATGGGAAAAAGTCACAGTCAACCAATGCAGAAAAACCAGCTGAAGATCAAAAAGACCAAAACAACCAATCAGGTTTATTTGTCCAGCACATTTCAGACAAAAAGGAGTTCAAAGCACGAAAATATCATGTGAAATAAAAGGAAATGTGTATATTTCATAAAACAATATACAAATTCAATAGTTTCACATTCTATGAAGGCTGCGCTCTAAAAACTCATTTTGGAGGGTATTGATATTAAACTTATTTACATTTCAACTATAATCTCACAAGAAATTTGAAGACAAAACTGACCTAGATTTTTCCAAATACTTCTGTAAAAAGTTGAGGCCATTCTGAACAAACTATTTTTAGAAAGTTCATATATATATGTATACATTTAACCTTCAGATGTTTTTCTTCAGGTTTTCTAGGAAGGAAACTTGACTTACTTCCTCAGACGTGATGATGCGCATTTATTCTCAGGCTCGTGCAGTGAATCCGCTATTAACATTCACTGATAAATGAGCCACTAAAACTTGTATTTTACACTCAAAAAAAGTTACAACTCGAACCCAGAAGGCGTTCTTGTTGTTTTGTTGTTGTTTTTTGTTTTGGTCAGACTGATGGAGAAAAGCTGGCGGAGTCAACCTGACTCACCGCATCACTCCGCAGACACGAAATAACACATTACAGGAAGATATCTTTTAAAATAAAACACGGCTCGTACCTTGAAGCGTTTCCCTCCTGCGGCGCTACGGGACTAAACTCACAGAGGCGCAAGGAGCGAGCGACGAGAGACTCATTTCCTCTTTTTGACTCGGTTCCAAATGTGAGTTTCAACACGCAGCGCGTGGCGGACCGAGGTGCCGCGAGCCAACGCGGAAGGTCACGCCTCATCACCGCCGCCCGGTGCAGGAAGAAGATGCGGCGCTCATTTGGGAGGTGCAGTTTTTTTTTTTTTTTTTTGGTAAATCCAGCTGTGGCAGCGGGAAGGTGTGGATCTGATACTCTGCCCCTTAAAGCAGGGTAACCAGAGGGTGCCAACAACCCATCCTTGGGAAATGCGCCCGAGGAACTAGATCGCCTGAATACAAGAATTTATTCCACCCAAAAGAAAAAAAAAGTTACATTTTATTGTTCCATGTTTTACAAGACAATTAAAATGTAAAGTATCACAATGGGAAGGGAAGTGCTGGGGCCTGCCAGCAGGGGGAGTTCAGTCCAAATGGTTCCTAAAACAAATGAATAAATCAAAATAAATTGCCAGCACTTTCTATATATAAATAGTTGTCTTTTTTGTCTTATTGAACTGCATGGATGCAATTAAATAATAATAATAATAATAATAATACATACCCATTTTCTGTCACCAAGCTGAATTACAGCCACACCCCAGTATCAAACAGGAGACTTCAAGCAGCTTCTTGATTTAAACAATTTGAGTTAACCAACTAAAATTGCAGCTCTTACACAGGAGGTGAAACATTACTTACTCAATGTTAGAGTTTTGACCTCAGTAAGCTAACCGAGCGACCTTCCCACTGAGGTGTGAACAAATGCAGACATAAAGAAATCAGGTGGGAGTCTCCCTTTGTGCTCCACACCTATTATGAGGTAATTAGGCAGCAACCAAAGGGCAACACAGAGATACACTGACATGAAAGGGTAATTTGGAGCAACCGGTTAACCTGGGAGTCAAGCAGTTGGGACTTTTGGAGGAAGCTGGAGATCAGCCAGTCATGCACAGGCTGCACCAGTGCAAATAGGATTGATAATAAATGCTCAAAATGAGCTTGAAATGAACAATTTGTAAGATTTTAAACTTTTATAGTTTTTTTTCAGTCCCAATAATCAATGAAAACACTTAACTACACAAGAAATGCACTTAAAACTTGTGTATGAGTGCCAAATGGTTTGTTAATTAAGTGGATAAAACTGGCATTGAAATGGTGTGGGAAGGAAGCACAGACCAGCAAATACCATCATTCACAACATGTTTACCATGTGAAAGATACAAAACATCAGTCTCTTCTCGTCACTTCAGCCTTTCACCATCGTTGTAGTTTCGGCTGTTTGTACCGGAAAGGAGCTGTATGACACTGGATCGTGTTTCACACCAACGAGGCATCAGTGGGAGACGTTTTCTGCAAACTGAGGCCTGAAAGTGATCATCTCTAAGAAGGAACTGTGACTCCAATAAATAATCAGGAAGTCACTCAGAGTTATTTTGGTTCTTAGTCGCTCACACTGCAGAAGAGTCAACCGGCCCAAACGGGGATCAGAGGTCAACATGAATGTGGCGAGATATAAATACTCATAAGGTTAAATACACATTTGAAATAAAATTGCCGTGTTTTTCGGACCGTAAGCCGCTACTTTTTCGCAATAGGATATTTAAACGTGACGCTAAACAGCAGAAACAGAAATGACAGAAATCGAAGCAAATTTCTTGTATCTTTTTTAAAAAAATTTTATTTATTGATCTGCTTAGCTAATCATAGTGTTTTTCATTGCAACATACGTCATATCTTTGCATAAAAGTATTAGTGTCAAAGGCATGGAAATTGAAAGCGGCACAACATTAATATTAGCTCAAATAGAACAAAGTGTCCCACATAAAAACAAGTAGAAATATTTCCTCCACAGATTCTGATAATTTACATTTACAGCAAGCGCTTGTTTGTCTTTCAGAATTAAAAATGTCTTCGTATTCAGAGGCTGACGTTTCCTCAGTATTTCTTGCTGTTTTGGTTTTGTCCCTTTCCTACCGAGCTGTGCTACTCGAGGCAGGTTTGCAAACGCAACAGAGGTCACTACTGTTTAACGACGCTTGGATGATTTTGAGTTACATTTCATTTTCATTTGGGATAAACCAAGTTTTTTTTAAATGTAATTGAGTTGATTTGAATACTATTACCAACTTCAAACAGCACCTGCATAAGGTCTTTTTTCTTTCTTTTTCTCCAGAGGTTTATATGCAAATTTTACAGCAAAACATCTTCATGTCTTTGACTCGACAACCATCTGGTTCCTGAGTAACAGCTGCACATTCTCTTGCTTCATATATTTGTTTAAATAGATAACTATAACAACACAAAAATTAACTTTAAATATGAGAAGCTTGCAAAGCCTAGACAACAGCATCCAGGCTCTGCAACATAGCTTTAAAACCATGATTTTGAAGAAGTTGGTAAAACGTCTCTTATTATTTATGCATGCATTGTGGGAGTAGATTTTCAGTATCATTCTTTGGTGTCTGACACAGAAGTTTGTTCTTATACTTCCTATCATCTGGGCTTTTGGACATGCTGCTTATCTTTTCTGTGTGCAAAATTAGCGCCGACACGACCAGAGCCGTTCTTTCCTCAACGCCAATCAGGGCATTGTTTTGTAACACGGAAAACAGCCGCAGAACATCTTCTTGAAGGGGTTGTTTTTATCCGACGCGAGGGCTCTCTCCAGCTTGAATGTGGCCTCCTGGACGGTCACCTCGGCGTTCTGGACGTTCCTCTCGATGCTCTCCACCCCGGCCCCCTGCTCCTCCACCAGCACGGCCACGTCCAAGAAGAGCTCCTGGATCCCCTCGATCCTCCTCTCCAGCTCCTGCAGCTCGCGGTGCCTGCTCTCGATGCTCACCAGGGCCGAGCGGGCGGTCTGGCCCCCCACCTGGACGCTGAACACGCGCGGCTCCTCTCCCTCCATCATCTCCTCGAGCTCCGCCTCACTGACCTCTCTCCCCGCCACCTCCATCTGCCGCTGGATGTGGCGCCTGCAGGCCTCGCTGTGGCTCATCTCGGCCTCGTTGTAGCTGACCATGACCTCCCGCAGCGCGGCGCTCAGGTAGCGGTACTGGGTCCGAGCGACGCGGGCCGCGGGGTCAGAGGAGCCCCGCTGCTCCTCCAGCTGACCCCGGAGGTCGTTCATCGCGTGCAGCTGCCGCAACACGGCTTCCCCTCTGCGCTTGACGTCCATCCCGATTGCGTTGGCGTCTCGCTTCGTGACATCGGGAAAGGAAGTCTTGTTTAACGTCTGGAAATTGACTTCCTTCAGCTCGCCGATGTCGTTCTGGATCTGCTGGATCTCCAGACGGATCCGCTGGGCCTGCTGCAAGATCCCGTCCAGATCCGGGTTGGAGTCTTCGTGCTCTGAGCGGCCGTTCAGGTCCACGGCGCTGAAGCCTTCAGGGTCAGTCTGGGCCTCCTGCAGGTGTCCCAGTCGGTCTCTCATGTCTAAAAGAAACAACAGGAAAACTGTTGGATCCATTCAATAGTTTAACATGAAGCACAGAGGCTAAGAAAACCTCCCATACCCCGTCTAAACACTTCCATATCTGCCATGTTACAACCACACACTTGAACGTGTTTCATTGAGATATCATGTGAAATAAAAGGAAATGTGTATATTTCATAAAACAATATACAAATTTGAAAAGAGCAGCTTGTATTTGGGTTCAGTCCTCCTTCACTCAGCACCTCTCCGATCCGTCCATCGTCTTGTCCTTGATGGTTGTGTAACTTCAGGTGTGGTCCTGACGCATAATGGCTGAATCAAAGGCTTAATCATCTCCTCAGCATGTCTTCAAGTTCTACAGGACTTCATCCATCTACCCACCATCTTGGTTTCATTTCACCTTCTTTTACATGTTTAGATGGACATTCTCAAACTGCTCTAAAAAAAAACAAAACAGAGAGTTTAACTATTACTCCTGTTGACTGACAGCTCCTTCTCTGGGTAATTTTATTTTAGGGTATCAGATTAAAGGCCTATCGTACTTCTCCGATTTTATTGGCCCTGCAAGAAGATCTAAAACCCTCTTTCAGCCGATAAACGTTCTACTTCATCTAAAGCTGATAACAAGAGAGGAAGTGGATTCTTGAAGCATTTTTCTCTGTTTTTGACAGAGACCATGCTGATATGGAGCGATACGCGTGAGCCGAAAGATTCACATGCTGCAACTTTAACTCACAGCTCTGGGTGGGAGAAAGAATGATGCTGCCACCACCATGTTTCACTGAAGGGATCAGAGTGATGTGCAGCGTTTGTTTCCTTCCGCGCAAAGTTTTGTTTGGGGGCGCAAAAAAGAAAAAAGCTCAACTTTAGACTATTTTTCTTTCTCCCTGAGTGGGTTATGACTTCCTGTGGCGTTTTATCAAACATGCATAGCTTTTTTCTTCCTACTCTCAACCAAAAAAGCTGCACTCAGTCATAAAAAAACATAACAGACAACTGTATTTGTATCCCTTCACATTGGTGGAAAGAAGCGTCTATTGGCTGTTTTTTAAAGATAAGATTTTCTTTGAGCCTCCAAGTAATCAGGGCATCTTTAGATGGACGTTCTTGATCCTGCAGGACACTTCTCAAAACTCGCCAAACGAGTTCCAGCACAGAAAAAAAAGGACAAACTGAGAACAACCCAGCTTGTCTGACAAAGCCGTTGAATTATTTACAGTGAAACTCAAGTGAAGTCTGTTTTGTTGTCTTTAAAAAACAGAAAACTATTTTTTTCTTATTTTATTCTTCAGAAGGACTCCAGCAGAGGCCTTTAAAATCATCTCTATATTAGTAGAAATCGCTATGAAGACAATGTCTTTCATCCCTTACTTGCGCCGGTGTGATTTTTCTGTCGAGGCCTCGCAGCTCGTTCTCTTTGTGACCCCCCTAATCAATCCCAATCATGCAGAGGTCCAGCGAGCGTGGCGACGGCTCCGGCGGCTCGAGACGACTTCAGGCAAACGTCAACCCTCGGCACCGATGCACCTTAGAAACAAAACCTTCTGCATTCCTGCGGCGTCACATGGAGACGGAGTGAAGCGGAGGCCGGCCTCTCCAGGGTTTTATCGGCGGGAGAAGCCGGTGTTGATCGTCCGCATTCCTCTGATCGGCTGAAAGTGCGTGAACTTTTGCAGAAAATCAGTTTCTGTTCAGCTTTCCTGGCAGGTTAAAACAGAGCCGGTTCCTGCACTCCAGAAACAAAATCCTACAGAGCATCTTTGCTCTAGTTTCTATGAGTAAACTTTCAGCAAGCAATAGGAGATTGCTTGAAGAAAGTCACTCTTTCACATTAATGCAAAAGCACTAGCTATAAGTGAAGTAGTCTGCCAGTGGAACAAGAGATTTATTATAGGTTAAAATGTCAGTGATGGTAAGATTTTTTGTTTTTTCAGTGTAGGAATAGAAAACAGGAAGTGTTTTAGATGCACTATCTCCACAACGGGTGTGACTTACATGATGAGACAAGATAAGAGATTTGCTCTTCTAACATTGAGGCTTCTGCTTGAATGAAAACAAAACTGTCCAGAAGAGCTGTGCGGAAACAAAAAGCTGAAAACTGGAGCGAGGTTTTCGTGGGTGTGTGGGAGGCAGTGTGATTTTGTTATTTCCAAAGAAAAACTTTTCCGTCTTTACTTCTTTTTGTTGGGGGAGGCGGGGGGGGGGGGGGGGGGTCTGAATGATTAGCAATTTCCACCGCCCTCTGTGATTCTGAGTCACGCTCGAAGGGGACTTTTGTTGCCGAGTCACTCACCAGCTGCCGCTCACACACACGCTTCAGTTGTCGTTCCTATAAAGAGACGAGCAGCATGAATGAAAACCGCCACCGCTCGAGGATTCTCCTCGAAACCACAGCAAAAGCAACGAATCTCTCTGTGGCGTCTCCTGTTCCACTCGCCCGGTCCTGAGAGAGCGCCTCCAGAAAGTATTCACCTGACTCTCCACCCCAGCCCTCCCTTATCAACTGAAATCTGAAAAGTGCGTCTCTTGATGTGATTATTGCTTAAACTCTTTTGAGGCAAATCTCTATTAGCTTTTGCAGAGTTAAATGATCATGTAAAACATCTCAGGCAATTGGAAGCAGAGCCTTTGTCATTATTAATCTTCAATCGTTGTCGGATTTAGGTCTGCACTTTGACTAGGCCATTCTCTCACATAGATATCATTTGATCTTGATCTCTGCTTCAGTGTTTCAGATCATTGTCCTGCTGAAAGGTGAGCCTCCACACAACTCTCAAGTTTTTTACAGCTTCCAAACGATGGGATTGGCGTGAATTTCAATCCTACCATCTTCATGATTCTGCACTGCATTGTGTTAATCTGTGCACTTGTAATGTTTGGAAACCATTTTGTGTTTTTTTTCTTGGCTTGTTCTTCCATAAAATTGATACACCTTAAGGGGTGGCCACAGTAAACTGTCCAGCAACATTTAGGGTTTGACGGTTTTTAAAAAAAACTTTTCAAACCACATTTTACATAACATTTCAATGGAACGTCGCCGACCCCCTCAAAATTGCTCTTAAGAAATGTTCCTGTTTGTGGTCCCCCTCAATAATGAGATGGGATTTATGCCCTTGTGGCACAAAAACTCCCCGTTTTGATAACTGGAAACCGGCCACACCTTATGAACAACTTGATCAAGTTTGAAGCCGATCAATCAAAATCCCTAGGAGGAGTTCGATCAAAATGCAAAGGCTGTAAACGGCAAAAATGGGGTCAAAATCGGAACTTCAATCCAGAATGGCCGACTTCCTGTTTGAGTTGCACTAAACGATGAATCGAACAAGTGTATCAAACTTACTGTCGCTAAGACAAAGTAGGATCCATGCGGTCGGTATTTTGAAAGTTGGCAGGTGGCGTCATGGAGCCGTTTCTGTTGCGATTTTTGCGACGCCCTTAAAATACGTAATTTTCACGCAGACTTGACGCGTCCGCCAACGTTGGTGAGTTTTTGAATATGATAAAGCCCCGAAAAAGCCAATTCATTTCAAGGAAAGAATAAAAAGAAGAAGAAACAACATGATTACAATAGACATTTGCAGCCAAGCGCTGCGAAGGCCTAAAAAGTTGAACTGAAGTGCAGATGTTGAAAACCAAGGAAGAAAATATTTCTAGAGAAAACAGGCTATAACCACTAGATGGTGACAAAAGCCATTCGGTTTCAGGGAGTTTTCTTGAAGGAGGCAATTGAGATATTGAGATTTTAATACAGCTGAATATTTTTATTGTTTTATTTTCTACATTTTTCAAATTGAAACCACACAAACTTGTAGCAATAGTTCAGAGCCTCTAGAAACAAACATTTTATGTACAATAAATCAAAGAAACTTTTAAACTGATGTTAAGTGCATTATTTCTAATCATACATTTTAAATACGCCTTACACCCACCTGTCATGCCCAAAGGAGGCGTGTATTATAATTTCCAACCAAGCAAGTGAAGTTAGATTTGTGACTGATAGATTTTTACCTCCGTTCCCAAACTCAGGTCAGCAAACATTACGGGCGAAAACGTCTAAATTGTGTTTCCTGTCCTCAGTCAGCTGGTTCAGATTTTTTCCTAAATCAATAAACTTCTTTAGGCTTTGCTGATCGCCAGTCATGATGTTTGCATGTGAACAGCCGAAACAAAACATAAAACACGCACACACACACACACACACACACACACACACACACACACACACACACACACACACACACACACACACACACACACACACACACACACACACACAGACAGCCTCCTGTGGCCTCTTTCACTAGACGTTGACATTGGACAAGCTTTCTGCGAGCAAACCAACAATACATCCTGACCTGAAGGATGGAAACCTGCAGGATTCAAAAGCCAAGTAAAAGTAAAATCTGTGATCTGCTCATTGCTCCTCTGAGACCAGGTTCCCTTTACCTTTTGCCAGACTGATCTCCTTCTAGAGGAAAGTGAGCTTGATCTTCTTTTCACACAGAAGATGCGATTACTTAATCCGAGATCTGAAACACGGGTCAGTCAAGGAGCCTGGCTGGCGTCTTAAAATATAACCTCGCATGTTTACACAACCTGCCACTTTGTAAATAATGTCTAATGTGATTTTCTTGCCTTTTTTCCTCACCGGCTTTTACAGCGCAGCCAAGATAATCTCAAAACTCCGGCTGACAGTCACGGTTTCTAATCTAATTTCACGTCCACTGCAGGAAAAATGGCGACAGGGCCTCGAAGGGGCCTCGGCCGCCGGGTCAGGGCCGCACTCTCCCGGCTTGGATCGGGCACCTCCCAAGGCGACCAGGTAACGCGGGAGCACATGCGGGGGGAATGGCGGGGGGGAGCCGCTCGGACCCCCCCATCCACCGAGTTCTTATTGGATTACGCCTCATCAGGCCTCAGCAGTCAGGCCGCCGCTCTGAATGGAGAAAACATCAGCCGTTTCCAGTTAACCGGAGTTGTGACTCTAATTATTCAACTTATTAACTCCGTTCTGAGGTTCACATAACAGCATCAGCGTCTTGGAGCATCTGATCAAATTAACATGAATGCCTGTCATGGGTTTGGAGATGCTCCCGTCTGATTTCCCAAGCTCTCACTTTGCAGCGCTTGGGAGATATTCATATGTACGTTCAGTCTTGTTTTAGAGGCATCTGCTTGGCAAACTGCGTCCCCGTATCATTTACATGCATTTGTTGCAGTAACAATAACACTGTAAAACGTGAGTAAAAAATAAAATAAAAATATCTGTTTTCATGTGATATTTTAAATATATCTAGCAAAAAAGTCACATAAAACCAAGTAGTTCAATTTCTGTGAATCCCTTTGCTTTCAATCAAGTTAATTCCTCATAAATCAACAGCCAAAATACCAAGAATCGAATCTAATCTGAGTCACAGAGGACAATGGAATATTCCTAAACTAATCTGGTTGTGTCTAATCCTTTTTGATGGCCAAGGTAAAACAGCTAAAAGCAGAGCCAGGCTGTGATGCTGTGCAAACATTAAGTTTATGGAAAAGTTGAGCGTCTTCAGTCATCGCCTCAGTTATGCAAGTTTGGGCCCCCAAAAGCATAAACTGCTTTTTTCATTCATTTATATTTTTGGGCCCAAGAGGACAAAAGATAAACAAAATTAAAAAAAAAAAAAAAAAAACAACAGAAAGACATTCAAGGAATTGGTGGTATAAACAAAAGCCTTCTGGATGATGGTAAGAGTGTCACGGTTTGTTATAAAAGAGTCTTTCACCAGAGACAAACACATAAATGAAGTTAAATATTTATTACCCAATACTTTGTTCGGTCTAAATTTGATTAGAATTGCTTCTTGGTTTAGACTTGAGTACTTTTTTTCTAAATTGATGAATGTAAAAAGTTACGCAATAAATTAGGAGAGTTGAGTTTTGCATACCTCCAATTTAAAGACTGGCATAAATATTCAAACCCTCCATTTGTGTGTGTGTGTTTTTTTGAGTGTTTGTTGCTGTTTTACATTTTTTTAATGTTAAACAGAAATGTCTGTATATCTTGTTTGGATTTGTTGTCAGAGTTGAAATCAGAGTTTATTCATGTGTAGGAACAATCCAGTCAGTTTGGACCCAGAACCGACTGACTGACTCGGTTTGAGCTGTTTGGCAAAGAAGAACGGACAAAAAATATTTATAAAAAATGGTTTCTGTGCAAAAGTGGTCAGAAAAACAGTCCAAATCACTGGCTGGGGCTACATGACTTTCTAGTAAATATTGTCTCAAATGAACTGCAAACCATACTCCTCAAAATCTACATTTTCAAGCATTTCAAAGACCATACCGTTTCCAAATTAATGGTTTTTGTTGGTTTATCAACTGTAAACCTGATTCAGTCTTTAAAGGATATATGATAAACATATGGCTTATTGCTTGGACCGCAGATTAAATCACACAGTAAATTGCAGCGTAAAACTGCATCAAACTAGCCTAGAAGCCACCTGTTCTGTTTTCAATGTTTGTATTAATTAATAATCACTGAAAGCAAACTTTGTAAATTCCGGAAAGACTTCAATTGAATAATAATAACATTCAGTAACACAGAATAAATGCATTTGAAACCTTGCTGAAGTCAATCAGAGGGTCAGGCTCTTCCATAAGAAGACTTTTGCTCATACTGTGTCTCGCCCGCATGCTCCATCACAGACTCTAAATCACGTTATTTCTTGTTGGCTGAACAGTTTGACCAGTCAGCTGATTTCCATTTGTCTGAGAAATTTGTTCCAATCTTGAAAATCTTTGACATTTTCCATCTTCTAAAATGATTCTGCTGACATTACAGTTTCATACATCAGCCAAATACAGAGACAGTCAAAGATTGAAAGTACAAGAGGGGATCACACACACTTTTCATTTTGTATTAAATATGCCTTTAAAAAAAAGAAAAAAAAATGGTTTGATGTAATAATCTAATGTGACATTCATGTTGTGTTTTCATTAACTATAAGTAGGAAATCAACATAACGAACACAAAGGAAGGCTTTAAACTCCAATTAATCTACATGGTATGTTTCACTTTGCAAACTGAAATAAATGAACTTTTTAATCATATTCTAAGTTATGACATATGACATTGGGCTGCCCATTACAGGCTGAATTATTTCAGTATGAAAATAGCACATGACACCTCCTGATGTCCTGTGCATGAAGCTTCTAATGCTCTCTGAAATCCAATCAACCAAGTCGCCCGAAGAGCCACAACTGGACAAGACCAGAGAAAATCAATCGTGTTCGTTCCATGATAATCGCAGCAACTTCCCGGATGAAGCAACATCCACTCATTCCTTCCATGTAGAGCTCAGAGCCGTGCGCTGAGCTGACATGACATGTGCTTTGGATCTTTATTATGTCCTCCTTTGAAAATCTGCAAGTGTAGAAAACTATATTACAAAAACTATAAAAACTTTACGATCCACACAGAGCAAAGTGTCCCAGGTCACGCCCAAGTCAGCATCCATAGAGATCAGAGGCACTGTGGCGGTTTGAAAAGTGAAATTCAAGTACGGTTTGTTCGGTAAAGTCTTGTACCAAACATTAAAGTGCGAAGAAAACAACAAATGACATTAATATTACAGTGGTGGATGGACGGTTTTGTTATGTGCGAGTGAGTGAGTGCAGGATCCGCAAAAGTTTTGTGTGCACAGAATCCTGATTCAACACAACTCAGTTGAGGCGAAATCTTCTCATCCCACATCAGTGTTTAACCTCGTAAATGTGCTTTTAGGAAGAGAGGTCAAATATTCTCATAATGACGGCCCTGAACACATGGAAAACTGCCCCAGAAAAACATGTTGAAGCTGCACAGGTTGAGCTACATCATCATAAACTTTATTCATTTAGAACTGAATGTCACTCACAGTCACATGTGTGGTGATCGCATAGTTTAGGCGATATAGTTTGCATTTCTACAATTTTTCATTCCTCTTTTCTAAAGGTAAGCGCTTTGAAAGTACTGTAATGTTATTTTTCTGCCCTAAGACAAAAGTTTTGGTGTGTAGCTGGAATGATGTTGCAACAAATATTTTGATCCAAATGTTCCCATTTGACCCAGACTGACTCATTAGATGAAATGAAATGGGTCAGAAAGTTCAACAACAAGCACCACGGTTCAGCCCAGGATGGACTGAAAACCGCTGGATCAGGATCTCTGTCCAATCTGGGCCGTGTTTCCATATTAGCTCGGACCAAAATTCAAAACGTTCAAACTCAGCAGGAAATGTGCAGTGAAACGCTCGAAGCAGCTAAAAAAAGACTTGAAAAATTGTTAGGAAGAATACAGAGGACTCTTCAGTTTCACTTTGAATCAACGGCTACATGCTTCAAATTTAATTCATTTTCAAGTCATAGTTCCCCAACAAACTCAACTCCATTCCCTTCATGACGGCTCACTTTGACCTTTCAGTCATACGTGTTGACCTGTTGAGGTCATGGGCCTGGTGTGCTTTCAGACCATGCAGCTGGCTCCGCAGAACCAAAGAGGTTTCGTCTGGTTACACTCGTGTTCCCTGTATTATTTCATGGTGACCGCAGTGGACGAGGGGTGTGACGACGGTGGGTTGACTTCAACCCCCCTATTGACTTCAACCCCCCTATTGACTTCAACCCCTCTATTAAACAGGAGAACAAAAGTCAGATCAGAGGATAAACGTCGTGGTATCCGGCACAGTTCGGGTCGGGAGGTGGGCTCTGCGTCTCAGCGGTGGGTGTGTATTTTGGTGTGAAACTTTTGCACGCAGAACAAAAGCAGAAGACCTTGAGAAGACGCCGACTGATGCTGCTGAGAGTCTGTTTGTGCAGCGCCTGTAAATGTCTGTCTTCAGCCGCATCTTTGAGAAGAATCAACTTCCTGCTTTGTGCAGAGCTTAACAGTCACCATGACATATTTTATTAACAGGTTTTAGTCTGGAAAAAAATACAAATAAAATCAAACTATTAAATAGCAACATGAAAAAAATCAAGAATGTTTTTAAGTTCGTATCCACGTTGCTTCACATCAATTCTCAAAACTGATACATCCTCACAATACCTACCCAATATTTTTATTTAGATTTTTTGCAGAGCTTAAGACTTAATTTGATCCCATTAAGAGATAATACACATTTCTAAACCGATTACGCCGCACAGAGTGGTCTTGGAATAACTGAGTTTATTACGGGTTCTGAAATAAGTTGGTGCATGTCTGCTGTTTGGATCAACCTGCATGTACAATGGCTCCGTTTCATGCTGCCAGCTCGGGCGTTTCCTCAGTCATCTGGGTGCAGGAGCTTGTTTTTTTACCCTCCTCTTTATTCGGTAGAGGCGTGCCGAACCGAGCTGAACCGAACCGAACCGAACCGAGCCGGGCTCGGGCCGGGTCAGGCTTGACTCCTTGTGTCTTCATGTGATCTGGAAGGGAGGCGTTTTAACTCCGCGGGGAGGAAGAGGAGGAGGGTGAGGGGGGTGGAAATAGTTTGTCCAGCTCCATCCCAGCAGCAGTTGGGAGCTGACCTGCCGGCTCGTCGGGATATTTTTGGTTGTTTTTTTTTTGTTGTTGTTTTCCGTCCGTTGCGCGGCTCCCTCCGTCCGGACAGTGACGCGCCGCAGATCCGATTATGGGAGACGCTCAGTCTGCGCCACGGGACGCCAAAAGCGATGCAGCAGCAGCGGATGATGAAGAGGAGGAGGAGGAGAGGGATGTGGGAACCGGACAGGACACCGACGACAAGGTACAACGGCTTCCCGCATCGATAAGTCCCGCTGGTCTGCGCGTCAGACGCAGGGAGTTCACCTGTTATGAACTGCGCGGAGTTTCTGTCTTTTACGCAGAACGGGGCTGATTGTGTGCGAAAAAGCAGAGGGAAGATGCTGAGGCTGGAGGAAGGGGGGGTTGCTGCTGGCAGGACAACGCAGATGCTGCTGCAGAAAAGAAGGGAGGGAACAAAAAGCTCTTTCTGATGAAGAGAATTAGTTGTACTGCAACACCGAGGTGTGCAGAATTTGTTTGTGCCGGATTGCCCTCAAAAAACCAGCCCACTTTCACTGACTTTCATCTGCATTGCTTTTCTTTTTGATGCGGTAGTTTTGAATTTCCTGGCCCCGGGTGGGGGCTCGGTGGGACACAAAACTCTTAGAAGAACATAAGTGAAGCCCGAGGGAGGGATAAAATTCCCTCTCTGCTGCACTCAGCAGAAAGCAGCATCGATTATTTGCGTGCACCATCATTACCTGGCCAAGATGGGCAGGAAGTCCAACATGATGCATTGTTCTGTTTGGAGTTTACTGTCACACAGGGAACAAGTGGAAGGTGGAGGCTGGTGGACCTCCGTCACCTCTAACCCACCTGGAACACCACATCTCAACCAGAAGATGTGGTTCTGACAGAGTAAGAATGGCCTAGTCAAAGGCTCTGCACGCTTTAAAACAAAAGAGCTATTATTGCCCTCAGTCCAGCGCCACAAAACCTGCTCAGAGCCACTAAGATTACACCAATTAAAAAAAAAGATAACTTGAAATTTTTAATAAATAGTTTCAACCGCAAATTTGTTGTAATTTTGAAAGAACCGTGATTTCATTTCTATTCTTCAATTTTAAAACGAAGAAAAAAACTTTTCCAAAAGAGGACGAATACCTGGGATGTTATTATTTATGGTTAAAAAAATAAAATAAAAACAAGATAGCAACCGAACAATATGAAGAAAATATTTACAAAATATTACAGGTGCTTTCAGTGTCTTTAAGAATGATTGGTTCGTTATCATTTTAATCAAAGATAGGAATATTTGAGGAATGTCCAAAGTAAAACTTGTAGATCCAGAGATGCATGTTGCAAATCCCTGGCCTAGTCAAAGTAAGGACAACTGGGAATCTGCCTGAGCTTGGAAACTTCTTCACAGATGCTCTTTATTGAACCTGACTATAATGGAGGACTACATAAAAAAAACAACAACAAAAAAAAGATGCTAATCTAATTGTTCTGCACAACACGCCTTCAACTTTATTTACTTTTACAACTTTTATAAATAAGATGCAACAATGACTGGAAAAGATATCTGTCATTTCTCTTGGTAAAAGCATTAATCAAACCATGAGTTGGTCCAGTTTGTCTGGGCGTCTTCTCCTGTTAAAAGGAAGTTGTTCCTTTCCAACGTCGCCAAAAGCTTATTCAGGAGGAATTGCTGCAAAGCCAGTGGCACCATGTAATCAATGACTTTTTAACAATCAGCCTTATTAAATGAATTTAACTGCGCTGTATCATAACTCGGATCAAATTGGTATCTGCATGCATCAATCCTGGAATATACTTCTGTGTATAAATTTGGTCTTTTCATGTGCTGTGAATTGGCGCTGAAATTTCATAGCCTAAAGCATCATTATTGTTAAATACATTGAGAGACAAACGAGCTCCAAACGAATCAGAGCGAAAGAAAACCTGCTGCAGGTCAGGCGCTCGCTTGTTGTTGGCGTTGAGTGTCCGTCGCCTAGAAAAGTAAGTTCTAATCACGTTATGGCATTTGATCTTTTGGCATTTTGTAATTCTCTCAGTGGTTTTGCCCTGCATTTCCCTAATCGTCCTCGAGGATTACTTGGAAGACCTGTTTCGACATCAGCAAACAGTGAGAAACATCGGCTCTAGAAGATTTGGCCAAATATGTTAGGACACCGACATCTATCAACTCGCTGACAGCGACGTTTATCCTGATTTATTAAGTGAGTGACCTCACCCTAGTTGGACATGTGTTCCTCATTCTCTAAACCCTGCTCAGACCTGCTGCACTAATCTGTCCCAGGGTCTTGAGATTTAGGCTATTAGGATTGTTAACAGAAAGGTCACAGTAACTGGATTGTAGAGACTGTTTAGAAAACACGACTGAAGATGTAAGAAATACCTGGGAATCGCAAAGGGAGAGTTATTTTTTTCAAACAAAAGACAGAAGTCTGACCAAAATGTTTGCAACTTGAATGGAGAAAGCAAACACTTTTATGTCTTGTGTGAATAACTCAAGCTGACTGCGGATTGACTGCTTGCTGTATTTCATCTTGAAATTGGCTCCACCATGATGCAGATGAGGGGACTGTTGAAGGTCCTGGGTTTGAATCCCAGCCTGGAGTTTACCTGTATCATCTTCCTCCATGTCCAAAACCATTGCTGTTCGATGAACTGGTTACTCTAGGTGAGTGTGTTATTTGCCTCTTGCCCAATACCAGCTGGAGAAAGACAACAGGCCTCCAACAACCCTGTAGAGATAAGTGCGAATGGACAATTGATGGATTTTATAATCTATTACTAATCATATGATTTTGTGTTTTGTTTCAGATTCTCAAGAACAATGGACAGATCTCTGACATCAACAGAAAAGCAGAGCTGAATGGTCACTGTGAGGATGAGATTGGCATTGAAGGTGTGTAATTTGAAAGCTAAAACTAACGTTTAATCATTGTTCATTTGGAAGACTCATTTGTTGCCCGAGCTTTGATTAGTTGGCTACTGTCTGAAGAGGTTGCAAGTAGCTGATCATCACATGAGCTTACAGATCGCAGGTTACAGACAGAGACAAATATATGATTTTAGGAGACATTTCCTCTGGTGTCTTGAAAGCAGAGGACTAAACGCATGATGCGAAGCCGCGTGTTAGTCTGACTTTAAATCAGACTCGGCTCTTTTTAATTTTTGGGTCACTCAGGATTACAGAAACTGTTTCTGTTTGCTAAATGTCAGAATGACAATGATTTTTTCCCTCCCATTTTCTCTAAATCCAGTTTCTTAATATATGGTAGAATAGTTTGTTGTAATTGTAATTCTCCTGCTGTGTCTGAGTCACCTTGCCTGTACACACCTTTCAGGGATCTGCTTAATGAAACCTTTAAGGATCACTCCAAATCACAGACTTTCTACTCTTCAGTAAAAACTTTCTTGGTATGATTGGAGTCATTGTTCATTAGGATTGTTAAAATTTACATCCTGACCGAGTCTTGAATGTTTCCACGTAATGTTATTTTCTTTAAACTACCATATATTTTGGAAAGCGTTCCAACCCCTTCTAAAGCAAAACACCCTCAAGACATTATTCTTGATATTTTGGCTGATTTAATTGAATTTTTAATTGATGGCGTGGAAGAAATAAGTGTTAGAAGTGCGCCAAAAAACACAGAATGAGATTTACGTCCAATTCGCCAGCAGAAAGTAGCTGATCATCGCAGGAGCTTACAGTTTGCAGGTCACAGACACAGACAAATATATGATTTTAGGAGACATTTCCTCTGGTGTCTTGAAACCAGAGGACTAAACGCATGATTGAAGTGCTTAGCCATAATGACCACTGTTACATTTGGAAGAAAAGGAGGGAAGCTTGCCAGCCTAAAACCCCCATCGCAACCGTGAACTACAAGAGCGGACCTCACAAAAATGAGGACATTATGAGGACAGGACAGGTGGAAATATCGAAGCAACCTCTTGAGACAGTAGCCAACTCATCAAAGCTTGGGCAAAAATGAGTCTTCCAAATGGACAATGATTAAACGTACTGCCAAATTAGTCACAAAGGACAACAAAGTCAATGTCTTGGAGTGGTCAAGTGCTATGATATCATCATCCAAATAGTTTAACACTTACAGTACATCTTATTTTTCTAACATGTGGCAAATAAATATGTCTTTATGGAGTCTCAAAAATATATATGTTTTAGCTGTATTACTGTTCATTGGCAAAAACTCTTAACACTTGTCTCAGCAGAAAACTATAATTTATCATTATCTTCTATCCTGGTTTAGCTGCCATTTGTCCAGACATAAAAGTTTCAGAGCCACCAAAAGAGGAAGAGGCACCCCTGGAGAACGAGGACATTAATTTGAAGAAAGTGACTGAAGAAACCGAAGACGAACAGGTCGGACACGATGATCTGATGGAAATGGATGTCAAGCAGAATGACATCAACGAGAGTTTCAAGAAGTTTTTCAGCAACATTGGTCTGAAACTGACAGTGAAGAGAGGCTCCACTGACAGAAGTGCAGTGCCAGTAGACGTGACGGAGGAGGAGCCGAGCAAACCGGAAGATGTTGATGTTGAACAGCCTGCGAGGGAAAGAATTGAGGAGGCTCAAGAAAGCACAGATCTCAACACGGTAGAGGAGGCGGTGGAAAACGATTCAACTGTGTGCCCGACGCTGACAGATGTTACACCTGACGATTTTCAGGAAAAAGAAGACGAGAAAACGACAGGAACCAAAGAGGAAAATACATCCCACGATGCGGGAACGTCTTCACCTCTCAGCGAGGACGTTACGTCGCAAGAGGAGCCACGTCCAGCATCTCCTGCTGGGCTTGACGAAAATGCAAGTCCATTTAAAAAGTTTTTCACAACTGGAATCTTTTCCGGTCTTCGAAAGAAGAAGAAGCTTGAAGATGACGAAGCAGGACAGAAAGAAGAGGAAAAGGCGACCCAGGCGGCAGGTGATCGCCACCACGAGGAAGACGTTGCTCCAACTGAGAAAGAGCTTCATGAAGAGAAAACTGAAGAGGAAAAGCCAATCACCAAATCAGCTACAGCACCATCTATTGTCATAAATGAAATCGCCAACTCTCAGGAATTTGTTCAAGAAAGTCCCCTGAAAAGGCTTTTGTCAGGCTCTAGTTTCAAGAAACGCGGCAAAAAGCAAAAGGGCAGAAAATCAAGTGACGCAAAGCTGTCCGACTCTGGAGAACATGTTTCAGATCAGCTTCTGTCATCAGCAGAGTCTGCAGACAACAAGAAAGAGGAAACTCTTGCAGAGGCGGAGAGTGGGGAAGATGGGGCTTGGTTTTCATTCAAAAAGCTTGTAACTCCCCAACGGAGGAAGAAGTCATCTGTGGACCACGAAGAGGGGCCAATTCCAGGTTCAAAAGATGGGCCGAAACCAGCTGAAGCAGAGCAAATATCAGATCACAGCACAGAGGAAGGGAAAAGGAGAAAAGATTCGTCTGTGTCATGGGAAGCTGTGTTGTGTGGATCTGGAAGAAGAAGGAGTCGGAAAACATCAGACTCTGAGGATGATATGCCTCAAAATAGTCAAGGTAGCAAACAAAACGGCGGCTCTAAAGAACCACCGATTGGAACGTCTAATGAGATGCAGGAGATTCTGGCGTCATCCCCAAAACAGACAGGAAGTCCTCCAGAGGAAGACGAAAGCTCAACGTGGAGGTCGTTTAAAAAACTTGTCACTCCCAAAAAGAAAGTGAAGGAGGAAGAAGAAAGCACCAACGAAGCTGGCCAAGATGATTCTGCCTTTTCCATAAAGAAACTCCTGTCTGGAAGAAAAACAAGAAAGTCTGTTGATGTTTCTGCTGAGGAGGTCAGTAAAGAGCATACAAGTATCGATGATGAGGACTCTGAGACACCTGCTGTGGTTCCTCTGTCTGAATTTGATTTACCTGAAACAGAACCAATAGCAGAAACAGAAAGTCATAGGGCAAAAGATGCAGATGGTGAACCTCAAATGGGAACCACTGAGACCAATGAGGAAGTCCAGTTACAGGACACTGTGCCCACTGAGCCAAAAGACACCCCAAGCCACGAAGGAGCTTTAGAAAAAGAGGCTTCATCAGCCGCAACTACAGAAGAAGAACCAGACGAGCTCACAGACTCCAGCAATCTTCAACAGCTCAGTGATATCCCAGAGGAGGGGGTCATTACAGAGACCACCCCAGCCTCAGTGGCGGAGGAGGCAGCAAAGGACGAAACGATAGCAGAGGACCTGCTGGAAGTCACATCTGAAGCCATAACTGCTCCGGAGCCAGCAGACGTTACCTTGGCAGATGAAACAGAGATGGTGTCTGCAGTTTCCCAGTTATCAGAGTCTTCAAAAACATCTGGTAACACAACACCTGTCCCAGCAGAGTACACCGTCATGAACACAGAGTCCCTCCTGCAGCAGGTTTCTGAGACTATCGCTGCAAGCCCGACGGCAGTTCCAGTGTGTTTGGAGGAACAGAGTCCTGAAAAAGCTGTTTGTTCAGTATCGCATCAAATACTTGAATCGTCTGTATTGGACCAGCCCAAAATGCTGGAAGTGCACACAGGATCAGAAGCAACAAGCATAAAGACAGGCCTAAATGCTGAAGGAATTGATGCAGTGAAAGAAGCTGCAGCAACAATCCAAGCCGAGAGCATCTCTCACCTCAGCGAGGCCATTTCTACAGAAATGGCTTCAGAAGTTCCTAAAGAGGAGCTTGACACCGCTGAGCCAGCTACAGATGACGTCTGTGAGGTGAATGTTTCAGAATCACAAAAAGACATCAAAAATGTGGAAATTACACCAGAGAGGCAGCATGTAGTTGAAGGTGGAGGGGATGTCGCCGAAGCAGTGTCACTGGAGAGTTCACCTAAAGGAGAAGTCGCAGCGACCAAAGAACTTTTTCCTGGTCAAGCTGAAAATAACAGAAGGAAAACAGACTCCAGCGAAGAATTAACGGTGACATCAGTAGATGACGCCGAGGGAGACCAAACTGTGACAGAAGAGGAAACTGAAACCAAAAAACAAGCTCAAAATGAGGTCAAACATCCTGATGCAGTGGATGAGCTGGAAGAACAGGCAAGACAAAAAAAAGCTGAGCTGGCCAAAGGAGAGCATGATATCCACTCACCTGAAGAAAGGCCCCCAGAGACAATCCAGTTCACTGAAACACCTTCACAGGATCTTAGTGAAGAAACCAAAGACAACAAAGGATCTCCAGTAGTGGAAGCTGAAACTGAACCAAGTGCAGTGACAGAAGTTGTGAAGACTGCTGCAACAGAGTTAGTAGAGGATCTGGTTCAGACACTCAACACAGAAGTATCAGTTTCAGAAAATACTGTCATAGCTGAAACAGACACCGACGAGTCAAAACCAGTAGAGTCTCTACTTGAAGTGACAGAGGAGACAGAAAAGAAAGAGCCACAAAATGATCAGTCTGAGGTTACGGTAGAATTAGAAAGCATTCAAGCACCAACGTTAGAGTCACAGGAAGATGCAGCAAAATCCCTTGATAAGGAAGTACCAGCGGAAGATGATACAGCAACTGAAAGAGATGCAGAAGAGTCCAAGCTGGTAGAGTCTCTGACTGATGTAACTGAGGAGGTGGAGCGGAACGAGCCAGAAGCAGCAGCTGCGCATATTGATAGCTCCAAAGCTACAGAAGCATTAGAAAGTGCACAAGCTCCAACAACAGAGTCTGAGGAAGATGCTGTCCAGTCCCTTCGTAAAGAAGTGTCATCGTTGCCATATTCTTCACCAGCTGAAAAGCATACAGAGGAATCTAAACAGCTGGAGCCTGTCACTGACGTCAAAGATGGGCAAGGAGATAAAGAACCGCAAATAGATGGAGCCCAAATCTGTCAGTCAGAAGGTACAGAAGGATTTGAAAGTGTTCAAGCCCCAACATTAGAGCCACAAATGGATGCAGTTGTGTCCCTTAATGAAGTGTCTTTGCCAGACATTTTACCAGCTGAAAAAGAAGAACCCAAACAAGTAGAGTCTCTCACTAAAGTCACTGATGAGCAAGAAGACAAAGAGGTCAAAACGGATGTAACTCAAAGTGACAATGCTGAATTCAAAGCAGAATTGAAATCTGTAGAAACAACAACTGTGACATCTGGAGAGGATCTAGTTCAGTCCCTTAATAAAAAGGCAGAAGAAGAGATGCAGGATGAAAAACAAGAGGAAAGTGATAAACCAGAAGACAAAGAGCCACAAACGGATGCAGCTCAAATCAACGATGAATTAATATGTCCAGAAGAACCAATATTGACTTCAGAAGAAGATGTAGTTCAGTCCATTAATCAATCAGTGCTGTTTTCAGAAAACATTTCATTTGCTGTAACAGATACAGAAGACGTTGAACTGGTAAAGACTTTCTCTGAAGAAAATGAAGAACAAGCAGACAAAGAGAGACAAAAAACAATTCATACACTGGAGTCTTCTGATGTTACACAAGTTTCTGGTGTTAAAGAAGCCACAAATGTTGTACAAGAAGCCACAGACAATGTTCAAGAAGACATATTGGCGTCAGAAGAAAGCAGAGTGGAGGTTCTAGAAAAAGATGCAATGCCTTCTGATACCATGCCAAAAGCAGAAACAGCTGAAGAAAAACCAAAAGAGGAACCTGAATGTTTGATTCAAGGAATCATTCAAGTAGAGGATGCTCCTGAAACAGAGAATGCTCAGGAACCAGAAGCTGCTGCAGTTCAGCCGGATGCAGTAGCGATTAGCTCTGGAGCATCTGATGTGGAAGTGATACATGACACTTCAGCATTGGAAACCGTCACAGAAGAACTAATTATTACAGAGTCAAAGGAACCTCCATCTGTGGAACGAGAAGGTTTGCCTCCTACCCCACAAGACATTGCCTCACATATGGAGACATGCAAATCAACAACTGCACCAATTGATGAGGAAAATAAGGCTCGGGTACCTGAAACGCAAACATTACTTCACGATGTTCCACAGCCAGAAGACACTGCTCCAGAGAAACCAGAGGGGAAAGATGTACTGCAGCTGGATCACGAAACTGATATTAAACCATGCGATGCTAAGGCCGAGCATGAAGAAAATGTTCTTGAGAATGTGGAGGGGTCACCAGCATTGACAGCAGTTCATGTTGTGTCAGTTGATGAGGAGGCAAGGACTGCCGAGGTCCTGGAAAAAACATGTCCTGTGGAAACCCAGCCAGTTTGTGTAGACCTGGTAGAAGTTTCAGAAGAACCTAAAAGTGAAGTCTATCTTTGTGAGCAGCAGGAGACAGTAGACGGGGATAATACGGACAAACTTTCAGCTGCCGAGATAAAGGTGGCCGCAACTGATCACACCTTCATGGCACATGAAGTTATAAGTAATTTGAAAGACGTTTCAAGTGAGAAACTGAATGTTGAGTTTCAAGACGTTTTGATGAGTAAAACGGCCAGTGAGATAGAAATGAATGATACAGTAGAGACTGCAACCCCATTAGTCCTAGATGACATTAATCAGGCAGCAGAGCCGAGCATTGCTGTTGTGAAAATGTGCGTGCCGCCTGTGGAGATCGAGGTGAATCATAAAGTTCAGATACACCTGATGGATGTGGATATCAGATCAGCCCAGAACTCTGTTGATGCAGTGATCCAAGTAGGAATTACAGAAGATAAGGAAGTAATTGATGTGTGCCATGAAAGCATTCAGAAAGTAGACAACCTCTTAGCCACTGCAGGAGTTGAAGAAGAAACTACTACTGAAGAAATCCAGGTGACAGTTCAAGATGTTATGCAGCATGTGACAAGTAACTTACAGGAAACGCCATCCAAGATGGCCGCTCAACATGTAGAACAAGTCACCGATGAGTCAGAAAGTATGATGGAAGTATGTGAGGCAGACCAAAAGGAATCAGTTGAGACGGAAGATGAGAAGGTGATCAATGACGGTGCTGAGATAGCCGCCAATAGACAAGAGGAGGAGGCCACTGTCATCACTGAGAACTCTGGAATCCCGGCTGAGCAAGAAGGCCTTGAAGAATCCGAGGTACCTTTAAGTATTCCAGACATCTCCATCGAGGATCACAGGGAGGATTTGGTGGAAGCAAAACCTGACAAGCCAGAAGTATGCACCGCACCAAGAGATGTAAGAACAGACGAATTAGCTGGAAAGGGTCCAAATGAAACCAACATGGAACCTCTGGCAAGTACGCAAAGACAGCTTGCTACACCCGGCAATGCTGGATTAGCAGTTCCCCAAAACACCGGAGTAATCTCATCAGTAGGCAACCTGGAGTCCCCTTCTAGTCTGTCTTTAGAGTTCAAACTGAACATACAGTTTGCTCAAGCCAAAGCCTCAACATGGCCCTCTGCTGCACCTATAGAAAGAATTGAACCCGTGAAGCAGGTGGATGTTTCTGAAGCTGGAGTTCAGGCAGAAGAGTCAGCAGAGTCTGTACTTCAAAGAGATGAAAGCAAGAAACAGATGGAGCTAAATGAGGTAGCGGTGCAGGCAACCAGTATCACAGAACCAGAAGCGGACTCACGTTTAATCCAAAGGGCTGTGATTGCAAGTCAGCCAGTGCTACTGGATGTTGGTGTCCAAGCAGTGGAAACAATAGAGCCATTGGAACAAATCCAATCTACTGAAAGAGTCATTGCAGAGGTTCAAACAATGGAGGTTTGCCAACCAGCAAGACAAAAGAAGAGAGCAGTGCTCCTGCGAAAGCCTCTGCTCTCCGAGGCGAAAAAGGGTTGGGCTTTCAGACAATCAGAGGACGAAAATGACCAAGACGTCTGGCTGGACGCAGAGGAGGACATCTATCCACAGCAGGACATGCAAACATCCACGGAAAAGCTGGATGAACGTGTCAAGCTGCAGAGTGAAAGTGAAGAAAAGGATGAAGCAGAGCCTGAGCTGGAGTTTGAGATGGCATGCAGCCTGGAGGCAGAGGACACAGAAAGCCAACGAGACGCGCTGAAAAAAGAAACGAGTGAAATGGAAAGTGAAGGGGAGGATTTCACTGTTGCACTCGAGGACCTGGGAACCAGTGTCTCCGCGGCGGAATGAAGCTAACACAGCCCGACTCTGGGGTCAATGACAGGTAAATCTTCGAGCATTTTCAGAATCACCGTCCATTGAAGGAATTTAGTCTTCAATTATCTGTCACAGACGACTAACAGCTGCTTTCTCTCATCTTTTCTAAGGTTGGACAATCATAACAAAGGACGAACGTTTCGGAAAGCCATTGCAGTGTTTCTTGTGACACCAAGCTAATCCAGTAATATTCCCATATTTAGTGGTGAAACCATTCTTGATTTTGAACATAACATTAATTATGTGGTTAGAGAAGTTTGGACAGGGAAACCGTTAACCTTCTCGGAGGGACTGCAGTGATTTCAGGTGTGAACGCATCAACCTCGCACTAAAACATGGCTGTTCCACAGTGTGCGACTTAATACTAATCATGTCCAATTCTTCCACTTTTAACATTATATTAATTTTTATTTTTTTGAAAAGTAAAAGTGATTTTAACAGTATCTGAGAGATTTACGTTTGTACTCCGACACTGCACACCTTTTTTGTATACTACTGAAAGTAGATACTGCGCAGCCTGTCCTATTTATGACCATATATATTTCATCATTCAGTCTTTTAGTTATTTCACCTACAGTCTTGCAGAAGGGTTCATGCTCCTTGAACGTCGTCACATTTTAAGTAACGACCACAAACTCAAAGTGCATTTTGTAAGGAAAATTACACGCGTTTTTTTTCTACAAATAATCTTAAAAGTGTGGAAGTCATTTGCATTAATCTCCTCTGATACAATAGTTTGGATACGGAGCGTTTCCTGTGATCACAGCTGCAAGAGTTTTGGCGTCTACCAGCTTTGCACATCCAGAAACCAAATTTCTTTGCTCGTTCTTCACAAAAAAGCCCGAAATCGGACAGATGGGTTGGACAACATCTACTGTGTCACATCTGATTTAAGTCCAGATTTCTACTTGATTATCCCAACACAACAAAAATGATTTAATCTAAACCATTCCATTTCAGCTTTGGTTTCATTTTTAGAATCAAAACCTCCTTGCAGTAGCTTGCACAGGTGCCTTGTCTACCCTTTTTGATTTCCAGATGACGAATCAAACAAAGCTCTGAGACATGTTCAGGTTGTGGATGGTTTTTAAAAAATAACCCTGTGCTAAACTCCACAACCGTGACGTAATGTTCTAAAAGCACGCTACATTTTTGAGACGCATTTGTAAACAAAGTAGAAAACCATGATGTTCGTTCCATCATACCGTTACGCGCCATTTTACGTTGCTATCCACCACCAAGGTGAAGTACCTGAGTGAAGTTGGCCTCCCCACCTTCTTCAAATCAGACGAAATGGGTGTCAATTAACTCGACTACGTTTGTGCAGCAAAAATTTTCGTTTGTGCTGCTTTGGCTTTGAAGACATCAATGAAAGGTTAAAGGTCGAAAGCTCGACCAGATCAGGTCTATGACCTTTATTCCTGGGAGTCTTACTGGGGAAACCATTATGGGTCTTACTTCTGGCGCCCACTGGAAGTAGCAGCATTTCAATGTGATTTGTAGGTTGTTGTTTTTTTTTGATAGTTTATATTCGTGACAGAAATTATATCTCTCTTTTCGGTTACAATATTTAGTAAAACTTATTTACGGACATGGCGTCTGCCATCAGAGAGCTGCTCAGTACAGACTATTGTAATTGTGAATTTAATCACGGGGAGCGACAGGAACACGATCGTTACGTTTTGTCACAGAACCACCGAGAATTAGCAGCTCGTTCCTCTGAAGAGCTGACAGCAATGAAGAGAAAAACTGGCCAGAGATCTGAGCTGCAGGTATAAAACACCAGAACTACACAATATCAGCTTGGTGTGACGTGAATTGGATTATTCGGTTGAATTTAAAAAATAATAAAAGTTCATGATCTGAGTCTATGTCATTATGATTGGGCCAGCACAATTTATTTATAAGAGAAAATAAAATATCTGGAATTATTTAGTCCACCAGAACCAGAACCTCGAGGTTCTCCGTTGCTGAATGTCGCTGCAAATCAGCTGTTGTGCTCCAGACCATAACATGGAGAATCTCCCCTCTGGACTAGAACAGAACCGAATCACACAATAATCTGTTATAGGCAGTAACATGCCACTGGAAAGTGTGGTAAGATGCCCTCGTGGAGCTCGGTAACTTTTGCCGCACTAATAATCAAACCATGTTTAGTTTGTGGCTGCAGCAAGTGTGTCTCCAGAAACAAAAGCGGTAGTTTTCATTGCTTACCGGCAGATAAGCAAACAAAACAGAAATTGGCTAAAGATTCTAAACTTGAAGAGAGAACCCAAAATGCTTTATGTGAGCTCATTTCATTGTGTGGACTCAAAGCCAACACGTCTGCATCTGAAGAAACTGAGTCAGTGCAGTAGCTACATATGCGGCCATTTCTTCAAGTTGCCCTCCCTCCACACAATAGCTGTCGGCCCTGGAGGACCCACTTTGTTGCGCCCACAAATCTACAAAAGCCTCCTGGGGATCGAAATAAGGTGGATACAGTCGTGATAACGCAGCGCTGTGTGCAGCTGCAATGTGACAGAAACAAGGAGGTTCATGTGGGACTGAATACATGTTTGAATGCGAGTCTTTTACGAAATATATTACAGACCTAAAGATATTTAAGATATATTATATTTTATCTTGTACATAATGTCTGTTTTAAAAGCTTTCACAGGATTTGCAGTAAAGAGCGATGCCACTGAGTCAATTTCAAGGAGACAGGGAGCATGCCATATCTGACATTCGATGTACCCAAATATTGATTTCTGAGCCTTAATAACAACATATTTCTTGTTCCATCTTTCTGCCCAAATGTTTATGAATCAACAACTAAAAGGATTATCTGGATACAACCAGCTACGTTTTCAAGACGAAGGCAAACAAACACGCTGTTGTTTTCTTGTTTTCTTCCTTTTATTCCACGTATTGTGATTTCCAAGAACTTGTCCACGCGTCAAACGTGGCGAGATGTGAAACACAACCCTGAGATGCCTTTATTCGTGTATCAGCAAGATTTTTATTATTAAAACATTGTTTTGTTTGAATAAAATAATACCTGCACATACCCTAAATCTCCTGTGTCATTGAAACGTCTCATTCGGCTGTCAGCTCAACAGATTGTGTTTTACATTCAAGCGGTGGTCTACATACAAAAAGAACAGCACTCGTGCTTTTTGTCGAGTCACCAATTGGGAGCAGGTACATTAACATAAGAATTTATTCTTCTCTCTTTTAACACGAATGAGCCACAAGAATAACGTTTTCAGCCAAGGTGAGTGTGACCTCATAATTGAAATACAAACACAGTCAAATACTCAACAAGTTTGAACACAAATCTGAACAGACAGTCAGCCAAGCTGGGCTCCAATCCTGAAAGGATAAGCGAGAGTAAGCAATGGATGAAAGGACATATTTATAGGCAAATTGTGCGTTTGAAAATCGTCCCTTTGTTGAAAGAGGAACGAACCTAAAACTGGTCGGGTCCCCTTCACATTTTGTCAGTGATTTGTTGTGAAATACCAGTGAATGGATACCTCTTCCCTCGAAGTCTCGAATGTCATTCATAGATTTGTGCTCTCTGTGATCAGCAGGTCAGAAGATCATTTTTGCGAGTTCAAACATCACCTTCAAGGAGAACAAGGCACAGATTAATCATACAGGAGAGATATTGATCAGTGCTTTTGTAAAACTTTTTTTTTTTTACTATTTTGTGACATAAACCGTCTATTTAATTGAGATTTTATTTGGTAGACCAACACGCTGCAGTGCAGAAATGCAAAGTAGAGAGAAAAGTGAACAGTTTTCAAACAACCTTTGCAGCTGCAAGTGTTTGGGGTTTTTCCCCTGCTAGTTTTGCACATCTGAAGAAAAGAATTTGTAGTTGAAATATTTGCACATTGGTCCAACTAAGGTCAAATTACACACACGTGCACGCCGTGTAACAATTAAGTTACTTCTGACAGCAATTTGTTGCACTGGATTTTTATTTAGGAGTCTCAGAATAAAGGGGACAAAAGACAAATTACCTTTTTCCTCACTCCTTTGTGTTGGTATTTCAACGTAAAATCCCCAAAAATCTAGAGTTTGTAGTTTTAAAAAAAATGAACAAATCCTTTTTCACTGTCAATAAAAGGGTGAAGTAAACCCACTTTACCTCAATGGTAATGAGGATGACTATCATCCACTCCAACCTCAAGCTGTGCTTTTCACTCAAGTGGCTCCTCATCAGGTCTGTCAGCTGCGTGCAATGCTCCAGCTTCTCGTTCACAACCTACAAACGACAGTAACGCACAAAGAAGGGGGCTAAAAGTCCCACTGCGGCTCTTACACAGGACTTGTCTGCGCTCTGCAGCTGTATTTACGTTGACTCTGCGGTTGATGCTCAGGAACTGGCACGTCTTGTCATAGAGCTTTTCTAGGTTTTCTCGGTCCCAGTAGAAATCGGGAGTGAGGAGAAGGTCGGACCGCAGGTTGATGCAGTGTCTGTCGGAGGGACGGGAGGCAGAGAGCGAAAATGATTGACGTTACGGTCGGTCATGCCAGAGGTGGGAGACGTTGAACGTGACCGCACAGACAGGCACTACCTCAACCCAGAAGTGGTAAAAATAGCAAATCAAGTGAAGAGGCTGGCGCCACGAGTAATTGGAAAGCTTCGGCTTTCTCTTAAGTCGTAAAAATGAAATGGAAAAGGAGTGAGCTGCTGCTGGGAGAAAAATGGAATTTACCTCAACGTAAATAGCTCTCCGATCTTCTGCATAACCTCAGAAGAAGACAGTTTGATTCTTCTGCCAGACTTCAGCATCTAACCAAAACAAATTACTTCACATTTAGAGTTTCAAGTAGCTGGCATTATGTGTAATAAAATATGCATTCAGTGTCTCTCCATCTTGTCCATTGTACCTCTGGGATCGACTGAATTGACTCTACAAAGTTGTCCAAAGCCACCTCCCATATCGCCAACTTCACTGAAAAACAACAACAAAAAAACAGGGACTAAGGTTAAAATGTGTGTAAAACCAAAACCCAAAGCAAGTCAGTAGTATTCATCTATTCTCACCTGACAAACAGAGAGCATTTGAAAATGCAAATTTCTCCAGGACAGCCTCTTGTTGATCCATGTCGTAACTAAGAATGAAGTTGCCTCTCTCCAGCTTTGTGTTTCCTCTGAGGAAAAGATTTAAACGTATCAGTGAGCAGCAAGCACTCAGGAACCCCGGCGATCCCGTCCCGACATTGAAGCACGTCGTACTCTCCAACAGTGTAGTTGATCTCCTCATTTTCCCAGTGAACCAAAGCGACTTCGTAAGGCTGGATCTCGTGATGTTCCAGTAACCTCAAAACCTTTTTCATCTGCACAAAATGAGAACACTCCGTTGTCAAGAGGTGGTCCGATTTAGAAATGGCTTCAGTCTGGAGAAGTTAAAGGTGATGTTTACCTCTTTCTCCTCGACATTCCAGAAAACAACAGATCCTTCCCTAAAATTCAGACGCAGAACGTCAGAACAAAGATTTCCAAAACACCGAGGCTCACGCTGAGAATCAGAAAATGATAGAAAACAAATTCCCACAAGAGTTTCTTCTTTTTCAGTTGATTCAAACTGTAATTTAATTTTACACAGGTTACGGTTTAGACCAAGCTATGCAATACTGATTAAATGTTCCCAAAAAGTGTATAACTGTATTGGCATTTAATGACTTATTCTAACATTTCTTTTTCCAGGGTGAAATGATGACACGACAATCCCAGCTATTGATTTTTTTTCTTTCTAGAACCTGTAAAAATGTTGTCCAAGTTTTGACCAACTAGTTGTGCATGTTGAAGTGAAGTTAAAACATTTTTTAAGGTCATCCTCCTTCGTCATTGCTCCAACCGGTTAGCACAATGCACCTGTGATAGCAGATAAATAACCCCTCAGCATGTGGTTCTTGTGAATTGCAAAAGTTCACAATTACAATGACATTCAGCAAGACGATGACGCCGTCGCTGTCTGACATTTTAATATAAAAATATACAATAAAGTATAGAAAGATGTGAAAGAAAAGAAGAAGGAAGGAAAAAAAAGCTCGTCGTTTCTACCTGAAGAAAAAAATAAGAGCGTCGTCGTCCACTTTGGCAGCGTTTTCGGTGCTTATCACCAGGACATTTGATGCATCTGAAATAAAAACAGGAGAGTCAGAAGAACTCAAAGCAGCAGGGATAAGAGTCAATCCCCCTGCAGAGCTGCTTGGCTCATACCTCTTGGTAAATCTATCTCTTGAAAGCCGTGGTTTATCAAGTCATGGCTAAGTGTTGGCAAATGATACTGGTCTGCTGTTGCAAAGGCTGTGCATTGCATCATGTCCTGCGGACAAAAGAACACCTGAATTAATGGCTGAACCAGGCAGCAACAGATGGGAAAAACAAACAAATAATCACCAACTTCATCACCTCATCATCTTTGTTTAAAGGCTGGTTGGAGCGAGAAGGCTGTTTAGTTCGTGGGCCTTTCGGAGGTCTTTTTCCTTTAGGAGGCACTATTACTGGTTTTAAGGTGGGCTTTAGCACTGACTTCACAATATTAGATGAATAAAAACGAGCCTGATTACACATGAAGTTTGTGTGTGTGGGATGAACGTGTGTTTTGCGCATGCACTGCTGGTTCAGTGAGTTTAAATGAAAGCTTCTTGTGACTGCAGAAGACCAGGACTGAATCCTTGGGGTCGACTCGTTGTTGCTGGCCTTCGCACATTGCCCAAGAATGGTTGAGGAAACAGTAGAGACTGGTCTCCTCCCAGCAAGCTGCCGAGCTCCCAGTCTCGACCACAATGTCCGAAGAAGCATCTTTCTGATGCAAAGGTGTTCTGCGATATGAGAGGGAAAGAGGAATACACAAAAATACAGAAAGCAGGAGCAAGAATAAGCAAAACTGATTGGCTCAGATTATGAATAAAAACTGAAATAAGCTCAAAGTAAAAACTACGACAGTTCAGACCAGTAACAACTTCTGAGAACATGCTAACAACATGCTAAAAGCCACCGTGCAACATTAGCCTTTAGCTTACCGGGGACGGAAAACGCAGCGTCTCGAAACAGGCCAGAGGCGACGTGGTTGAACAGCGGTAACTGCTGACAAAGTGTTAAAAAGAAAACCATAAACTTTCTCAAAATTGTCTGACAGCGAACGTGACCCGGGAGGCGTGTTTCTCCTCGCACACGCTGATGTTGTTCCTCACTTCCTGTGTAGCGTGACGTATGCACGTGGGTGTCCTCGGCCCAGAGTCTTGACTTGCAGGTAAATCTCACAGGCTCAAGTTTATGTTAAAACTACACCAATTACTCTGACATGGATCCTACAATGTGGCGAAACAATGACCCTGTATGTGCCATACTTGTTCATATCACCCAAAAAATAATTAATACGTCATATGTCAAAATGCTTTTCACCAAAAGTTTTGATTCTTACACGGTGCTTTCAAGTCAACTCGTGCAAAATTTGTTACTCCAACCTTTGTTATATTTATGAATGTTTACAGGATTAGATAAAAAAAGGTTCTCATTAATGCAAAAAACGTTTGTTTGTGATATGAAACCAGAAAGGCTTTAAACGATGAAGGCACAAAATAAAATGGGAATCAATAATAATAGAAAAATGTTTTATTTGTTATTGAAAGTTGCATTCATAAAATTATTTCAACTCTTTCGAGATTGAAAAACTTCAAAAACAACGTCATCACTTCCAGTGTGGAGAAATGCTCTGGTTATATTAGAAGATTCATCATTTTTGATTTCACTTTACTATTTGTCATACGGAAACTCAATCCCAGCAACATCTTTTCTACTCTTGATTTTGTTAAATATTTTTGTCATTTTAATTGAGGTTAAAATCTGGTAACAATAAATACATTGTTATCCTTCCATGCTTCATCAAGTGTTCTGCACAGTAAGTTCAGGTCTTCAGATTGAAACGGTGAATAACTTCCCTGCTTTACTTGCTTCTTTTAGTGCACATATTCATGTGTTTTTATGAAGGCCGAAGAAAATGTGAACTCGTAGCAGCAGCTTTCACTTCATTACATATCAAATTCATTTTAAGAGTTCATTGAAGAATTTTATGACTCACTTCATGCATTTCTGGTTAAGTAAAGCCCTTTTCGGTGCTTTTATGGGAGGATTTTTATTGTTGTTTCTACTTTATTATAACTGCTTGTTTCTGTTGCAGAGAAATGTGTAAAAATTGTTGGTGCAGACGATTCCGTGTCAGGTTCTCCATTTGCTTCCATTTAAAGGTCTTTATGTAGAACAGATGCCACCTAAGATACTGACAAAGACGTGATTTAGCAACCAGGGCTTTAAAGTTACTTTCATTAGTAAAATGGACAAAAGAAGAATCAGATTAAAGACAGGATTCAGAGTGAGGATTTGGCATTCATTATTGTTGGTAGTTGCATATACATCTTTTTCATAGTAATCTTCTGCACTATGTACACATGTTAAATAATTCTGGACTTTTATATATTTTATACTCAACCAACAGTCATACAAAATATACATTAGTTCTATGTGTCATAGTTTCGATCGTTAAGATACCAGATGTTTTGAAAAAATAAAAAGCAGAATGTAAAAAGATCATGATGTTAAAGGTTAAACCCTTGATTTGTGTCCGATCATAAAACATGAACGGATGTAGTTCAACTTAACAACGTACAGTTGAGCACAAACACAGTCGTAGATGTAAGTAAATAAAAGTAAAAATTAAAATCACATGCCCAAAATACAGGTAAAAAAAAAAATAAATGCAATGAAACCGTTTCATGTTCCTTTTTGTTGCCCAAGGCCAATCTTTCAGCTTTTGACTTTGGTGCTTTCCACTGACAGTGTTCTCCAGAAAAATACACGATGAAGGACCCGTAACTCCATCCAGCAGAACTCCACCGTCAGCTAAACCAAAATACACCTTGAAATGATGCAGCATTTGTCAATGCAGTGTGATTCATGATCTTCTGCGCTACACACACACACACACACAAATAGATTTTTCTGCGCACCATTCTCATTCCCGTCCCACGGAAGCCAAATTACGGACAGTTCTCGTTGCCGATCTACACGGGAGGCGGTCCGTTAGTGTAGCTGAGCATCGGGTAGAAGGAATGAGCAAAGTTGTTGGACTGAGTGCAGTAGTCCTCCTCGGCCAGCGGCAGCAGGAAGGCGAGGACCACCAGCAGGAGCAGGAGGATCTGGAGAGGCAGCGCGAACCAGAGGACGCGGCGCCAGAACGAGGACCTGCGAGCCGTCGCCACGTCCAGGTCAGAACGGCAGGAAGCGGATCCAGCGGCGCTGCGAGACCTGCTCACACACATTCGCAACCAGGCAGAGACTGAGTCACTGCCAATAAACACACAGCATCCCTGGTGCAGCTACGCTACCGCTAACACAACAATGCAGTGCAATCTATGTAACTCAAACTGAATGAACCACATTTTTAAACTTGCAAATCGACATAATAATAACTCCTAATTTAACATCCCTCTCTCCATTTGTGAAATCTGTTTTCAATCCAAATAAGATCTCATTTCAGCAGCATGGCTGCTGGATGTCGATGCTTTCATGGCCACACAATGGTGTGTTTGAGAGTCACTGCAAACTCGGCTTAAAGTGACGATGTTTCCTACTGTGATGCACATGCTGACTGAAACTTGGTGGATAAACAGGATAACAAAGACAGTCACAAAACAGTTTTTGAGCAAAGACAAATACACTTAATGTTTGCTTGCATTCCTGTGCTGAAGGTGTTAAGAGTAGAAAGACGATTAAAACAAGGAAGCATGCTGAAGGAATCAGCTGAGCTGACTGAAAGGTTTCATCCCAAAGGAAAGTGCAAAGCATGCCATGGCAAGAGCAGTGCAGCATCTTGAGACAGATTTTTGTTTTAACACTTTGGTTTTTAACTAACTTTTGTAAAATAAAAAATAAGTGTAGACAAATATACCACTTCACTTCACTGAAAGTGGCTTAGAGTAAAGTGCAAAATAATTCAGGCTACTTTAACTTTTTCACATTTTGTCATATTAAATCAGTCAATGCATTTAATTTGGATGCTGTGTGACAGACCATCACAACTTAGGGTAGTGCAGAATGAGATGTAAAAATAGTTTGTCTTTAAAAAAAAAAAAAAATTAAAGATCTGAGAACTGGCCAGGGATAAAACTGGAGAAGTTCAGGTTCCTGTAAAACAATAACCTCACAGACCTCTGTTGAGCTACCATGGAATGGTTTAAATAAAAGCATATTCATGTGTTAGAACGGCCCAGTCAAAGTCTAGACCAAAATCAAATTGAGAATTTTAAAATTTTAACTTTAAACATAGTTCAAAATAGTCGCAGCTCTGATTCCAGTGAAAGATGTTTCTACAAAATATATATTTATTGGAGCTAAATACAAATGCATGCTTCACATTTCAGATATATTTTCTTGTCACTAAAACAAGTTAAAATTGTAAAAAAAAAAATTCTTCCACTTAACAATTACAAACTACTTTGTGTTGGTATATCACATAACCAGGAGAATACATATAAGTTTATGACTAAAAAGTGACAAAATGTGAAATATGTAGTTGAAGGTGCATGAATGCTTTTGCAAGTTGCTGCTATTTTATACGTTAAGATCATGGAAAAACACAAAAACAACTGGAGCCAAAAGATTTGCTCACGTAGTAAAATACATCACTCATTGTTGAGTGAATCCAAATGTTCCTGGTAAATGACTGAGGATTGGATTATTTAATCTTTCAGGAGCATAAACTTTCCATTATGTACTTATCTTATTAGGATGATTCCTAAAGGCTCTACACAAGTTTAAAATGGTATAAAGAAACTAAGTTGTAAGTTAGGACAGGGAAAAAAAATCTAACTTAAGGGAAATATCAGTAATATTTATACTCTTATTAGTACTTAATTCTTTGTCCAATCAATTTTATAAAGAGTCTTCAATGAATTAATCATGCAGACATATTTGGAAAAACATTCTGTGTAACAAGAGCTTGTTGCTTTGTGACCTTTTGCACACGGCTCCAGTTCTTGGAGATTTGTAAACATTGTCAGTATATTTTAATGATGTCACATTCCTCATAATGAACAGTAAAAATGCTCACCGCTGAAACAACCCCACAAAAACAAACGTGATGAATTTGACAGCTTCTGAGGGAGGGGAGAATAATCCAAACACCACAAGATCCGAAGAGTCCGTCGGCAACAGATCATCTCTATTATGTTATGCTACTTTCAGCTAAATCCAGAGTTTGTTTTCTGGAAATAACGTTATGTCAAAGAAATGTACATTAAATTCATCCAGAATCATTTTGTATTAACTGAAACCCATCTAGAGCTTAACGGGACCTGCTAATTCAATGGTTATGATGTGTTCACATCAAAAACATGTCCGATGCTTCAAGTTCAACCAGTGTGAACCGTGAATGAAGACGCTTGACATTTTGCTCTACACCTAGCGTTTTGCGCGTCTGGTTTTCATCCAAAGTCTATGTGGAGGCACGTTAGACGTGTCAAAATCGCTCAACCCATTGTTTTTCGTTGCCGGCCTATTTGTCGGTCGCGTTGGATGCTGTTGATGAGTCAAACGCTCAAAACACTCCAAACGGTTTAAATTGACCGAGCTGGGCTCGACGTGCCTCCACAGGCTTGGAATGTAAACCAGACGCGCATGAGGATCAAAACGCCTTTGGTGCGAAATTTAAGTTAAACTTTTATATCTGCTTTTTTGTCCGTCGTTCTTTTCTCATGTTGCCCTAGGTAGTTACCCATGAACATCTGCAGCCATTTTTCTTTACGTCAAAAGAAAAATTTCGATTTTTCTTTTGACGTAATTTGACTTGTATCTGATTTTTTTTATGACAGTCTGAACAACACAGGTCAGATTCTTTTCGAATATGACCCGGGCCGCTTTGGGTATCTGCAGTGGGAACAAAAATTTCCACTGTGCTTTGTAAAAATTAACATGTTTTTAAGGGATAATACGATCAGTGAACACATAAACACTTTTATTAAAGGTCAACATGGAGTTTTCTTATGTCGTTACCAAAAAGTCCCCCTTTACCGCCTCACAAATGGAAGCGTGGAGGCAAGACGCCCAGATGACAGACTGAAGAACAGAGATGGAAAGTCAGTGAGGTAGAAGCAGCAGTGAAGAACCAGCACACACACGAGGTAAG